AGACGCCACAACAACTGTGAAATTAACAAAAATATCAAGAAGCACAACAAACTTAGAACCTCCGCCATTCTTTTAATCGACTTTTACACTATTATAAAACGAAGATAATCAAATCTAGTGTTGCTGCAACAGTAGATACTTTCTGATATTATGCAGAAACTATTCCTTTTTATTTTTTTTCTTTTTCTAAAAGACCTATATATTCTACTTTTTAAGACCTGATTATTTGGAAAATATTTCGTTTAAAGAAATATTACTACCTTCAATGGTGTAATTTTTAAATGTTAAATTTGTGCAATTTGCAAAATACTGGACGTTACGTGGAAATGAGATTATAGATACGTTTTTAACTGTCCTTTCATACACAAGATTTTTTTTTTAATTTGGAGCCGTTTTTGAGTAAATATTGTTAAAACATTATCTCTCTTACACGCAAAACAACGAGAAGACTAGAATAAGAAAAATATGTACACGAATTTATTTCAAGTTCAAGTGAACTTTAACACATTTTATTAAGGGAAAAACTGCTATCTTCAATATTTTTGTATGGAAACCTCGAAAAATTTAACTTTTGCTGTTTTAAAAAAATCAGAGTTTGCAACGTAAATAACACCTGCCCACCAATATTCCCTTAAGATTTCTTTACGCTATCCAATGGTCAAGAGTAATAAAAACAATTGGCCACTTCTATGAAAAATTGAAAATATTGAGGCTACGTTTATCATTCTTTGATACACACGAGGAGATAATCTAAAGATACCTAGGCTATTCTGACGTAATAATTGCAACGGAATTTCCCATAATATGGTTAATTACTATGAAGTATTATAATACAACAATTTCTATATTATACTTCCACTATCATTTGAAAAGTTATTAAAAATCAAAGCGTGAAAAATATCCATATATTTTTAATTCAAATGCTTGAACGAAAATAACACTCTGCCATTAAATTCAGTATATTCACGTTCTTCATAAATGTACCAATGATGCACGATTTGTATTTTAGACGTAAATAAAATTATTAGCTTAAATAAACCCAGACGAATGGCCCCTGTCATTACCACCTTCTGTTATCAATATAGCTGTTAACAACAAGCAACAATGACCACTAGTATGGAATACCCAATTTGCCAATTAGCGTTGTTGATACCACTAGCAAGAAAAAGAAAATTGATAGAAAAATGAAATAATTAAATATTTTTATATTCATCAAAATTACTCGGTTTTTGCTTGCATTACTCTTCACTACCACATCTTAGGAAAATTAAGCAAAGCGAAATCATCTATTCGTTTTCACATGTAACTCAATTAACGAACCCAATTTTAAAAACGTTTGATTTAATTTCTAAAAGATTAATTTTAAAACGTATAACAAAAGCTCGAATGTACGAAACTTACAAAGAAACATGAAAAAATATACAAATTCTAACTTACGTAGTATCCAACTGCCTCAAAACGCTTCTGCTATTACGTTCACGAAGCGCAGGACCTTCAGTGCAAGCGAGTAATGACTCGTATTTTCGAACAATTCAACATGACCTTTGTTGAAGATCTGTTTTTCAAAAATACATTTCATGAGGAAAAATTGTATCTTCCTAATTGTTGTTTTTTTAAAAAAAAATGTGGCGTCTGTAGTCACACAACACGTCTCCAATCCCTGGGGACGATAAGTACTTCGCAATTGAGAGTGATCCTCCATTAACATTATCTGTCATTTAATGTCAAGTCTCGTCGCAGTTAGTCGCCAAGAAGTTGTCAGTTGCCAGATAGCATCTCCACGTACCAGCCTCCTACTAAGCGATCCTGTGTCACTACCCATCGGCCAGAATTGAAACGAACTAGGGTAGGGGAAGGGTTAGGACACTTTAAAGGAGTTTCCCTAGTGAAGAAGCTAAACTCGTTTTGTAGTGTAGGAAAACTTCGACAATTTTTTTTTTCTTCAATTTTACAAAAATTAGTGTTTCTAAAGGACATGAGACGTGCACCATTCTCTTAAACGTTTTTTAGACTATCCAGCAACAAAATTTCATCAAATCCATGTAGCCGTTTTTGAGAAAAAAATGAAAATAAATTAAAAATTGCCAGTTTCACGCAAGTTAAGTGAAAAATACTCAAAGTATCGAAAAAATGTACATGGCCTATTTCAAAATCTATCTTTAAAAACAGATTTTATCGAAGGAAAATCTCTATATTTATAGTTGTAGTTGGTGGAAAACATCGAAAAAATTTTGGATATTTGCAATTTTCCGAAAATCAGTTTTCAACTGTAATGAAATTCGCACCATTCTCTTAAATATCATTCACACTATCCAACAACAAAATTGAATCAAAAACGATGGATCTATTTTTTTTTTAATTTAGAAATGTTCCAGGTGCTTCATGTAAAGTACCCCCTAGAATTAAAATATCGGTTTTAAATTCAAGAGGCTGCGACATCGCTCATATAGATTGGGGAATATCGATTTTAGTGAAAATCGACTGAACAGTTTAGCCGCTAGCGTTGTTCACAGACAGCGGACGGACAGATGTTTTGCCGTCTATTGATTTTTCGGTATCATGGCTCTGACAGGCCGGTACAGAATGGCACAAACTTTCCGGTATTCATTTTAAATTTCTTTGTACTCGGCCAGCTATTCCAACTTGCCACATACTCTTGCCAGCTGCCATCTACCGCCGCCCTCATTACATTTATGGACTGGAGTCATCGTTGATGTACAGATAGTATACAAATAGTATTAAGCATAGTGCTAGGAGTGGAATGGCCTGGTTTTGAATTCATGGTGTGAGAGAGCGAGTATCTTTGTTGAACGACTTGTGAACCATCAACTGGAGAAATTTCAGAAATGACGAAACATTAATACTATGAGTACACTTTGGCCTAGGAGCTGCTTTCCAACATTTGTTATTTCAGGAAAATATGTTTCTCCTGCCCTGGTAGTTATTTACGTTTCTGACACTTCATGAATGCGTACCCCGCGCAATTCACTCTGCTCTTGCGTGTCAAAAACAACTGGATAAAATATTGCCTCGATGTTTCGAAACAAAGCACCGATTGTCAATAAATCATTTAATAGCTTTGCGAAACGCCAATATTTCTTTAAACTAACTAATTTTCCTGTGATGAAATGACTGAAAATAAATTTTTAACATCACTTTTTACTGTTGGTGATTTTATTCATATTGAGTTAGGATTTAAACGATTTCGGGAACAAATTTTCCCTCAGATTTAAGACTAAATGTACCGATACTAGTTCAATTTGTCGCCACCACGTAGCAGCACCAAAATAAGCCAAAATTACTTTACTAATAACTTCTGAACAAGTGATCCGGTTTTCAATCAGTAAACGACACATAATTTGTTTTTTATATAAAATTTACGCTAGGAAGCTTCTTTGAAAAAAAATGAAAAATGAGTTTTAAAAATTGTTTTTCGAATATTTGTTCTGGGAAGAAATTTCAAAATGTGGGCTCATAGCACGATGGCGATGTCCATCCTGAATCCAACGCCGTATCAATTGTTCAAATCGGCAGAACGGGCGCGTCGTAAAGTGGAATTTGGTAAAATACAATGCCCCCCTCCCCTTGCAGCGCCCCCACCATCGCCCCTGCGCGTAGAGGCGCCGGCTCCTAGGGGCACGGAAGCATTCCGTAAGGGGTAAGAGGAGCGAGCTGGGAGAGAGGCAAGCAAGTAGGATGTTCTCTTCTGTCCCGACTGGGATTCGTCAGATAATCCTTTCGCTATTTTCTGCATCACAACATTAGTTTTACATTTCTGTATACATACGTATATACTGAGTAAAACATGTAGTATAGCGAAAGTTACGTATTGAGTAATACATGTAATACTGTGTAATAATGAGTAATACATGTAGTATAGCGAAAGTTATGTAATGAAACGGAAAAGAGATTTTGAGATTTCAACGAAATGCATGTTTTAAGACCCCCTGATACCGAAAAAGTGTTGTTTTTTATTTTCAAAGCGTCCGCCCATCTGTGGACAACACTAGGACCGACTCAACAAGTTTTCCTAGAATTTTATCGAAAATGAATATTAACTGGTCGATCTGGTTTGTCTCAAAGCTTTACGAGTTCCAAAAATGTTGCTTAAAATTTGGGGATATATTAAATGATACCCCAGAGCATCTTTTATATTTTCTCAAAACGGCACCTATTTCTTTCTTCGAACTTGTTGTAAGAATAGATTGAAATATGCTTCTCAGGGTGGCAGAAGTTCGACGCTTGCTGTTAACGTTGACTTTTTGAAGGTTACAAAAGTTTGAATTTTTCTCGGCGTCTCTACTACAATACTGACTCTATTCTATAACTACAATACCAAAGATAGAGATTTTTTAAAAAATAAAATTTGTTCTAATATGTTCTTTCATTGACACCATGCACATTTCTTTGAAACTTTTGGTCATTTTCGTGTAATATTGCCTAAAATATGTGCAGTCACTGATGCGTACTTACCGCCACTGAGGTAACATGCAGACAAGCAGATCTGTGAGAACATTCTACCGCGACATCGTGTAGCGAACCTCGAGCAGACAGCACACAGTAACGATATAGGGATTAAGAGTGTTTTTTAAAATTTTTTCATAAAAATTGAAGAAAATTGATAGAATAACAATATGTTGTGAAGTTAGCAAAATATATAATGTAGAACTAAATATGTAAAAACATGTACCGGAAAATGTTGATATTGATTAGGGCGGACACGATTCGCCAAAATTAAAATGTTTAGATTGGTAAGTAGAAAGACAAAAAATATATAACTGGTATCTACTCATGAAGTTCCTCGAAAACTGAAATGTATTCTGATAAATTGAGCTCGCATTTCTGCATTTTCAGATACACTCTAACGTTTCTTAAATTTTTTCAACAAAAATGTACATGTATGACGAGATTTTATATTTCTGTGGTATTCTTAAACTCATGTTTCGGGTCTATCATTTAAAAAGAATTTAAAAATGTGAAAATATAATTGTTAGGTGGCAATGGATGGCAGCTGGGAACAAGGTGAAGTAAAACCGAAAATATAGCTCAGAGCAAAGAAATAAGAAAACGAACTAGTTCGAGGAAGTCTATGCCATTCTGTAGCATAACTAGTTTATTTTATTTTACAAATCACACTGCTCAAGCTATAATTGGGGCAGACGTTCTCGTATCCTCTATAACCGAAGTATAGAACTGAATTTATTTTGAAAAATTGTTTGTTACTAAATAATTCTGATTTTTACCTGGTCATCCTTCGAACAAGTCCCGTAAACTGAGGAGGCTAAAGAATGATCTGTAGCAGCGGTAGCGGAGATGGAGCGGGAAGTATAAAGCGAAAAGGAGCAGCGAGCAAGCGACCCAGTCAGTATTAATGAACTTGGTAAGGGCATTCGCAAAGTTGTTCCACACCGCCAACCACAGTTCCAGTGCCACGTCGGATTTGGAATTCCGGACCTTTTCCTTATGAGGTTCGTAAATTAGTAGCTAAGTTGTAAAAAATGGAATTAAACTCAAAATTTGTCGCATCTTGTTGCTAATTTGTTACGCAAAATTTGTCGGTCTTAATTTGACCCTGCTATAAACAATCGGCAAACTGGACTTAAAGTTATTACCGCAACTCCCCAAAAAAAAACAAGAAATTACAGGGATAAATATAAAAAATAATTACATGGGAATTTATCGCTTTTTTGTTGCCCAGTAGTACACGAATATAAATTTTGTTTTTTCTTCAGATACCTCTAAATACTGGAACTGAAAAATTTCGCCAAAATACCGGAAATGCGAAATTGGCCCCCTTTGCGGCTGGTGACGTGAACGAACGACTGTTCTATATATATAGGACCTCGGAACAACAACCTACAGCATGTTTGAAAACCTTGCGGACAGATAGAATCAGACGGCGCAGAATAAATGAAGATTGTCGGCCTCACATATAAAAAGATGAAGATTCAAAATTGTGTAAATTGTAGAAAAATCAGAAAGTTCTCAACTGACAACTGTTTGATGAATTATAAAAAGGACGAGCAGATACATTTTACGTTAGTTTTTCTTGCATAAGGTGTGCATAGTATTACAACAGAGCCCTTTAATTGCGTTCCTTTCATGCATTCAATTTCTCTGCGTATCCAGCCGCTGCGAAGGATTGGGGCTTGTAAGTGCAAAGAAGGGATTCTCACAGCTGTTGCTTTACAGGAGCGGGTGGCAAAGAAATAGGCGTCATTGCTCCGAACAGCCTATCCCTACGTTTAAAAGCAATCTTACTCGTTTACACGCTGCCATTATTTGAAAAAGGCTCGCAGAGTTATCGCAACCTCTCCGAGATTCGGACTAGGAGGGTAACAAAGACAACATTTATTTTTTTATTTACGTCCAAAACTTTTAATAACTGTGGTTGACATGCTACGATGAGAAGGCCAAACTTGCGGGACTTAATTTGAATTTACATGTATATCCAGATGTAAAACAAGGGGTCGTCTCAACATTAGAGGATTAGAGAAACTAGATAATTTTATCAAGATGGGGGTCATTGACTAAAAAGATGAAGTACAATTGTTACAGATTCTTTACAATTATTCAGTCCAAGTAAAAAATATTACATCACATGTCACTCTTAAAATGAATATTACTTTGCTCTTGGAGGCTCGTTGTATTTTCTAATTGCATAGAAACAGTTGGGCAGTGGAAAAGATTTTATTTGGGACTTAAACTTTTGTATCGAATTTAATCGATTAATGTCGTCTGGCAGAGTGTTGAAAAATAATGTGCGTGTATGCGAATTTTGTATGTGAATTTTTTTGTAGTGAGTTATTGATACTGGCACAAGGGTTGTAAGAGTAAACATCACATACATTTAATTTTAATATTCAAAACAAAACATTTCCCAATATCCATGTGGTTTAGGAATCTCTAACATATTCACAGGAGGAATGAATTGTTTGGACAATGACAGCGCGCTGTTTAACCACTATTTTTAAATTTGTCCGAAAGTACGAGAACATTTTTAAAATAAGCTTCAGCTACTTTACTTGGGGAAAGAAAATTAGAAAGTGAATTCTATCAAGGAGACCAACCGTTTTGGGACCAAAAATCGAGTCGTAGGATAAAACTGCTCGTGCGTAATATCTGTTCATTCTTTCCAGTAGTTCAATGATACACGGAAGATCTTATAAGCAAAATATATGTAAAATTAGATATGAAGCGGTGGAATATTGGATATATTTAGACATTTTCCAATTTTATTTTTGAAATTCTTTTCAAAACGGAATCGATATTTTGAGTCAAACAACTTTATGAAGGTATTCGAAGAAAGACGGACATATGTGAACAATACAAATAGTTTTATACTACTATTACAGATGATACGAGACCATTTGCGTTCATTACAGCTTCACTAGTTTGATATGTGCACTAAAAATATATTTACATAACAAAATGAGGAAAATATAAACCGACTGCCTGGCTTGCCTGACACGCAAGTTTGGCCAGGAGTGAGGGCCCTCACCAGCGGATGACGAATCGGGTGGAAGGGGGAGGGGAACGATGTGTTTTCTCAAATTTCACTTTACGACGCTGCTATTCTTCCGATTTGCATGATTGACACGGCCTTGGATTCAGGAAGCATGTCGCCATCGCGCTATAAGCTCACATTTTTTTAATTTTTTTTTTTTCGGAAGTTCGCGCATCAATTTCAAATTTGCGTTCTTGGAAAAGGGCTTCGTACATTTTCGGAAAAGGGCTTCGTAGCGTAAATTCCATTTTAAAAGCATATCGAAAATAGGACCATTGATTCAGACTTTATTGGTAAAGTAAATTCTCCTGTGACAGTGCTGACAGATCTATTGACTTTTCCTACAAGTATTTTCTGACGCATTTAGCCTTAAATGGTATTCATAAAACCTGAAGTTCTTGTATATGAATTAGTTTAGTTTTGGGGACATGCAGGATGCCAACTCTCTAGTTACAACAGGTTAAGCTGGTTATAATGAAGAGAAAGAGATGACAAGCCAAGGCAGTGACTTAAGAACACTCAAATGGCCGAGTAGTCATGTAGGTAACAATTTGCGAGTGTATACACATCTAAAGGAAATTTAAGCGTAATAGTCACTAAATAATTATTACGAGTATAATTATATAAAAGTTCTACTGAAAACGATATTATTTTGACGACAGTCTTTATTTTTTTAGTGTAAATGTTCATTTTCTGGTGACAGATGAAGGGGGACGTTTGTATCTTACTTTACAAAAACAGCGTCGCCAAATTGTGTGGTATTATAGAGATCGTGGTCCTATAATGTTCGAAATTAGCTGTTTTACGAGGTTAATTCGTTTGAAAACATTGCCGTATTTTCTAATCATTAAGCATCGTATTGTTAGACAATCTGTATTTTACTGCTTTGTCAGACACACTCTAAATTAATGACAAAGCCTTTTTATGGAGTTAAATAAACTGAACTTATAATGCGTAAAACGTCAATTTCAACATTACAACCTAAAAATACAAGTCGTCAGTTAATGAAGTTCTTTTCGCATTTTAAACATATTTTTGCTATTTATTAGCTTGTGTTTCGGGTGGACTAATTAAAGGTGGGATATTTATGTTATTTATGAAGTTGATTCATCATCGTAGTTTTCTTTTTGTTTGCTATTGTCTCGGATTTTGATTCAGTTATTCGAATGCGTTTACTTGGAAAAAAGTTTTTGGAGTCGGATATTTGTGTTAGCCTTGATTTGTGGAGCCATAAAATTTCATCAAACATTCTACCACTTTATGTCTTCATTTCTTCTCAGTTTAGGAGTTTCATTGTGAGTGGGAAAAATTTGAGTTCTATGATTTCGATAAATAATATTTGATAAGCTAAGAACAATTTTCAAAGTATGAGTATGCAATGTTATTTTCAGCCATATTCAGAACAAATCATAATTTCATATATTTGTCAGAAAACTGTAAACTATATATAGATCAAACGTGGATAATATCTGTACCATTCTTCTCATTTCTTATAGGTTTGGTAATAGAAATGATAATTTTGATCAATCTATCAACACAATCGCCGCTTAAACAGAAATGAAACACTTTTTTTCTGAAAAATTATTTTCTTTTTGTTATATACGGACTGTGAAAGAAATGTTTACCATTTATGAGCCCAGTCTTCAAAAATCGTATATTTTGGAACCTAAAAATCCTACGTCTACTAGTAACATAGAACACTTCTCGAAATATGTTGCTAATGATTGTGCCTTGAAATCGATTAGAGATTAGCTATGCTACAAGGCCTCATTATTTTTGGGAGGTTTGGTATTTAGATTTCATAAGACACGTCACTTTGGTTAGATTATTTGAAAAAAAACCCTCCCCCAACATTTGAATCTAGATATATTAAGTTAGTCGTTGGCAACATATTTTAATACCAAACAACATGTTTAATTTACTATATTTCATTATAAAAAGGTATTTACCTCACCAGCAATTTGATTCATTTGAGTTTGGGTTTAGATTTATTTAGTCCAAAAACTGTATGTGACGTATGGGGGAGAAGATAATCTGCACACATTTTCTTGAGTTCCGAAATACCTTCCCATCATTTTAGCTATAAATAGTTGAAAGTTGAGTAAAAGTTAAAGTAAAATAAATAGAAATATAAAATTAAAAATCGCGAGATCAGCAACATTTGAAAAACTAGACATTTACGTTTCCGAGTTATAGAAAACTTAGTTGCAACGGTAAACGAACAAGGATTTATTTTCCAGCATTGCTAGCAAAGTAGTAACTCACCCTTACCTCTACTCCTACCATTTCAAGCAAAAGGCGAGTTCAAAAAACGTGCGCATAGTAAAGCTACATTTACGTCCAGAAGGAAAACAAGGCGCCATCTTAGCATTTCGTCAATGTTTAGGAAAACTGGACAGATATCTAATCTAGATAGGAGTCATTGACCCGGAAGCTGAAGTACACTGTATGGTATAAGAATATTAAGTCTTTCTAAAAGAATTTATAGAATACAAATATAAATTAGTTCACTATA